CGAAGAAAAAAAGGGCCGGCAAACGCGCAATCACTTTTGATCTTCCCCCCTTTTTTATTCGAAAGCAATGACAGGGTTATGAAAATGTGTGCTTCCCATGTATTAATTATTATGTATTGGAGTGCAATCCAACAAGAACGACTGTAACTCAATTCGACTATGGTATATCAAAATTAATAAGTGACATCCCGCTACTCTCCATCAAATCAACATCTTGAAAGTTTGAATCGTCCATGGTAAAGAAAGGGAATTTCTATTTCCATCACAGTGACATCGGTACACAGCCTTCGGATCATCGAATATGCGATTGCGTGTCAGAGATGTCGAAACTTTTGGCAGTAGATCTACAACCTCTTGACTCTAAAATGTACTCAATCTCAGGTTCTCAGCCTCGTCATCTGGAAAAGGTGATACTCATACCTTGTGTCCCTAAGCCGTTTGTTGTGAAGCTCTGGCGCCACCCCCTGAATGAATCTTTTTGCTTCCCTTCCCCTTGTTCGTGTGCGAAGATCAAAAGTCACACCAAGAGATCTGTCAATGGCATCATCATCATTGGCCTTCTTGCCCCCCCCCCCCTTGTTCATTCACGATATCCTCAAATCTAAATCTAATTAATTGGTCCCATATTGACGTTCTCCAGAGGGGTAACAAAAGGGACCAAAGCTCAGTGTTGTAAATTGGCTCCTCCGGTGCTACTGTATGTATGATAATTTGATTGATTTACTTGAGAGATTAGTCGAATGTGCTGATCCGTTTCATGTATTTTCCTGTCAACGTCAATCCTTGTGTCTGCCACTGGATGGCTAGATAAATGTGGACTTTTGCGGATAGTCACCGCAAAAAGGTCGGTCTATGGAGTATACAGAGTATACATCGAACTAACTTTTTCCAAAGTTGTGGAGAAGTTCAACTTGTGAGCTTGTCTCAGAGATGAGATCCGGAAACGCTAATAGGCATGCTGATACGTTTATTGAGGATATTCCCAGTAATCTCATCTTCGCCTGAAGTTTACTTGCAACCGGTTTTCATTTGTATAAGACTTCATACCTTTTTCTATTGCCCACAATGTTTGGAGATCGGCGGATTATCCATGTTGATATTCATTTGCTGAAATTCTGACTCGAATGCTCTACCAAAAGATTGCAGTTTATAGGAATGGGAAGGGAACCAAGCTCCCAGGTGATTAGAGGGATTTCTGATCACAACGCCGGTAACATGCATGATGCTTCCCGAGGGGTTCTTGCATCGCGGTAAATAAACGGTGAACGGTGAAGGCGTACCACAGACGGGGAGAAGTTGGGGGAGAGTTTCTTGTCGATCCAGGAGAGGAACGGATGGGAACAGGAAGTAAGTATTCTGGAGGCTTGTTAAATATCTACTTTGCGAGTGCTCCATGTTGTGATACTCGGCCAAGACGTCCCCAGAGGTTGTGGAGAAGAAGATTATCCATCATGGAGTCAACAACATCCAAACCATCACAATCATAAGGTGATCGATCCCATTGGGAAGCTGCAAATAGATTAAAGTATTACAGACACTTCACTTGTGAGTGAGGGAGAGGCATGAAATACTGCCGTTTTCGATGTTTGATAAGTAGATGAAGTTTTGTGTTTCTTTTCATATTCTGTCCCAAGGTTCGAGAATCATTCTTTCCAGGGTAATAAAAGTGGTTGATGCCGGGACTAAACCAATAGATAAGCTTTTCATGATCCATGCTTCAGAATCCATTTTCATTTTCATTCTTATCATTATCATTATCCGTCTACCGGTCCAGAAGCGTTGCTCAATGAATGAATGAATGAATGTTCACAGATGAGAGAGGACGGGAACATTAGCCACCCTAGCTAGTTCAAAGAGGCACCTAATTAATTTGAGTTAAGCAAGTCGAATTTATCAATCCCCTTCGACCCTTTAATCCTTGTTCAAGGTACGTGGGCTATTTCACCCTCATTTCAACAACCCACCGCGTTTCTTCAATTGGTCTGTTCCATAATTTTCCCAACTGCTGTCATTTCATACCATACATACCTACCTATTGGCAGATCGAATACAAGGGAAGAGATACACCTAGCCACCTTTGACTTGACTCTTCTGATACGTTATTAAGACCTCTCATCCGCCTCTCTCTTTTCAAGAATCATCTCCAATCTATATCCAATTATACCCTCAGACACCCTTCAGACAAAATCCTAGAGACGTACACAATGGCCGATATGTATGTACCCCCTCATGATTGCAATTGACCTTGATCCCCTCATCCACCACGCCACAATCTGAGCAATAAATATTCCATTCATTGCATCTTTAAGCTAACGGGTTTTTGTAGCAACGTAGATGTTCTTGTTATTGGAGCTGGACCAACTGGTCTGGGAGCGGCAAAGCGTTTGAATCAACTTGTGAGTTTCATTCTCCCCGGCGATACACACCGCCAGCTTGGAGGAACCTTCTTACTGATCACAATCGCAGAATACTGCATCATGGATGATCATTGATTCGAATGAAACTCCTGGGGGACTTGCCTCGACAGATACTACTCCTGAGGGATTCGTAAGTTATTCCAAGATTCCATGGCGACTGTGGCAAACACAATTTTCTAACTTTCTTTTTACAGCTCTATGATGTTGGCGGACACGTTATTTTCTCACATTACAAATACTTTGACGACTGCATTGATGAGGCTTTGCCAAAAGAAGATGATTGGTACACACACGAGCGTGTCTCTTATGTCCGCTGCAAGAACCTCTGGGTCCCTTACCCATTCCAAAACAACATTTCCGTTCTGCCAAAGGAGGAACAAGTCAAGTGTGTTGATGGCATGGTTGATGCTGCATTAGCAGCTCGCACTGCCACTACCAAACCAAAGGATTTCGATGAGTGGATTGTTAGAAATATGGGTGAGGGAATCGCAAACTTGTTTATGAGACCCTACAATTACAAGGTCTGGGCAGTTCCAACCACTGATGTTTGTATTCCTAATTCACTCTACCACTCGAAACTATGCTAATGATTCAAAAGATGCAATGTGCATGGCTCGGTGAACGTGTCGCAGCTCCAGATGTGAAGACTGTCGTCAAGAACGTTATTCTCAACAAGACTGCTGGAAACTGGGGTCCTAACGCCACTTTCCGCTTCCCTGCTCGCGATGGTACTGGTGGTATTTGGATTGCAGTTGCCAAGACTTTGCCAAAGGAGAAGACCTTGTTTGGAGAGGAAGGAAAGGTTAAGAAAGTCAACGCCGATGCACACACTGTCACTCTATCCAGTGGCAAGACCATTGGCTACAAGAAGTTGATTACCACCATGGCTGTTGATCAACTTGTCGAACAAATGGAAGACAAGGCACTCATTACTTTGAGCAAGGATCTGTTCTACTCAACAACCCACGTTGTTGGTGTTGGAATTAGAGGAGAGCGACCAGAGAACATTGGAGACAAATGCTGGGTAAGTCCTTTTCCACTTTTTTGTCTCAATATTGTTTTCTGCCGGAAGCGGTGACCCCTCAATTCTTTTTTTATGGCTTAATCCCGAGTATCATCCGTTTCCACGTGCTGACACATTCCATAGCTCTACTTCCCAGAAGACGACTGCCCATTCTACAGAGCAACGATCTTCTCAAATTACTCCCCATACAACCAACCTGAGAAATCAGTCAAGCTTCCTACCTTATATCACGCAGATGGTAGCAAGCCAAAGTCTTCTGAGGCTCAAGAAGGTCCTTACTGGTCCATTATGTTGGAAATCTCCCAATCTACCAAGAAGGCAGTCGATGTTGAGAACATCCTTAGAGATTCCATTCAAGGTCTCATTAACACTGAGATGATCAAATCTACCGATGAGATTGTCTCCACTTATCACAGAGCTTTCGGTAAGAATCTTCCCCGACTTCATCTACATACCAACATAGACTAATCTTTACTATAGACCACGGGTACCCAACCCCATCCCTCGAGAGAGAAGGTGTCTTGACTCAACTCTTGCCAAAACTTCAAGAGAAAGACATCTATTCCAGAGGACGTTTCGGTTCATGGAGATACGAAGTTGGAAACCAAGATCACTCCTTCATGTTGGGTGTTGAGGCAGCTGACCATATTGTGAACGGAGCTGTTGAGCTCACTCTCAACTACCCAGATTTCGTTAACGGTCGAAAGAACACTGAGAGAAGACTCGTTGAAGGAGCTCAGGCTTTCCAAAACAAAGATTTACCTACACGTCTCGCCAACTAGATGTGTGTTTAGAAGTTTGAAAGAAGGATAGAGGAGTCGAGAGACCGGGAAGAGTCTACTCAAACTTACTGTATACCTCTAACCTTTAGTGAACTTGAAGAGGATGCATTTTAATGCACCTAGATTTGTCTGAAATCTGCTGGTTGGTGTTTGCTTATTGCGACTTAGATACACACATATGCGATTTGTACTCGTATACTAGTTCTGTTATTGAAAAATAGATAGCGAGGGTTTTATTTGAAGAGCTTGTTTATTTGCTAGCTACTTATTAGAAATAGATTCTAAACAGGAAGAATTTATATTTTATGATTTTTGTCTTGCTGATGCTTTGGTCATGATCGAAGGGCTGATCTTTCTTTTGATTTTTATGAGTTATTCTCATCGCATGCCCCTTCCCCCAGATTGCAGGCAAATTTACTCGTACTAGATTTTATAGATTAGGTATATGTACGATTTTTTGCGTGCGTTGGAAATAGAGTATGTGTGTAAATATAGAAAGAGTGTGGATAGATAATAAAATATGCTACAGGACATAAACCAACGCGAGTTCATTCATCCAAAAGACCCTAATAGGTAAATAAACAGAGAAAAAAAAATGAAACAAAGTAAACAACCGGAGTAGATACCGAATGAACTACGAGTATAATCGTATCCATCCTCCAAAACTACCGTTTCCTCCCACGCTATGCTTAACCAAATCACTCCCCTCCTCCTCCTCCCTCCTCCTCCCTCCTCCTCCCTTCTCATTCCATTATCCCAATCTCCACCCCCTCAACCTCAAATCGTCGCCCCCGACCCCGGAAACGAAGAAAACTGAAATTTCGACTGATCCACGTCCCTCAATTCGGGACACCCACCAATCTCCCCCAAAATGCCCTCGGTGGTCGACGACAAAATACCCAACGGTTCCGTGATATCGCTAAAGACGTTTTTCAAAAAGTCCGGCGCGGTCAATTGTGCGTTTTGGAGGAGGAAGCAGGCGAGATTGTTTCCTTCGAAGAGGGATTCCAGGTTGTAGACGCCGCTGGTGAGATCGGAGAAATCGACGCCGGTGAAGGAGTTGGTGGTGCCGGTGTTGCCGCCCACGGTGAGGGTGTTGGGGTATTCGGAGGCGCTTTTGGGAGGGGGAGGGGAGTTAGTTATGTTTCTTGGTGGTTGTGGGGGGAAGGAGAGGGGATGGGGGACATACAAATATAAAATATCTTCTGTTAAGCTTAGAATACCATATTCATCACCGATAGCTCGTCGTCCCCAACCAGGTGGAATACGTTCCCAACCATCTTTCTTTTCGAAATTTCCAGTCTCTCCCGTGACCCCAAAGAAACTCTTCAGATTGAATTGATCTAAGATCCCTTCAGGATGCTGCGCAGTATGATTTGCCATGAATCTGAAAATAAAACTCTGCGCCGCGTTACTGACCGCCATGCCCACAAAAGGACCATAGAAGAAATACGGATTCGTGCGGACGCTTCTCTCGAAAGTGATTTGGCGAAGCTGCGACATGACCCCAATGTCGTAATTCGCAGTCTCTTTATCTGGTTGCAAATCGAACATTTCTTGAAAATGAGGCATTTGAAGGACCCAGGCGTTGCCGTAGACGAAAAGGTCGCCGCGAGTGGGTGAGGTATCGCCTTCATATTTATTGTGTGAACCGATTAGACCTTGGGGGGAACCTAGTAGACCGAAAAGGTTGTCGAGGATATTTTGTCCTTGAGTGGGGCTTCCACCAATGCTCCAACCCGGATTAAGAGAGAGGGGGTTGCCGTCCATGACAAGGCCGTAGACAGTGAGAAATATAGCCAAATCTGCTCCCTTTTGGAAATCTTAGTATCAACCTAATTTTTTTGAAAGTGTAATCCATCTTACCATTCCAAATACTTCCTCATTAGCCTTTATCATTTGGGAAATGGTAGCAAATCCGTTGTGAGGTAGAAAGCCATGGTTCGCCAACGCGTTCAAGCCTGGGCAAGGACCTCGCTAATGAGACAATTAGAATCGATACTTTTGACTCACTATAGGATAGAAAATGCAGAGATCTGAAGTGTTGAGCATACCATATCTTTGGGGCCAGGAGGTACAAATGCATGCTCCCCGGATACATCTATAATTTGAGCAGCAGCATTGAAACCAGGTGAACTCCGTTTTGCACGTCTTTTTTCATATGCAGCTTTGGCTAAGGAAGCGATTTTTGAGTTCATAGCAGTTGCCTCGAAAGCTTTAGCAGGGAATGCGAGTGTTTGTATGGGTAGTATAGCTAAAGCAATGAATGCTAAGAATGTGAAATTAGATACCATTTTGTATATATAAGCAGGTGTACTTATGATTATTCAAGGGAAAAGAGTTTCATGCTTGATAGCAGAAAATGGGGGAAAAGAAGCAAGATCTTATACTGACGCAATCCCTTCAATCTACAACAATAAAAGTTACATGCATTGCTATTCCTTACTCTCTATAACCTTCACAATCGAAATTTACAGATAAATCGATATTTAGAATCCTATTTGCGTCACTCAATCAGCCAAATGAATAGTTTGTCACCCCAGAGCATAGGTTTGATAGAGATACTTCCCATTATTACGTTACCTCAACGCCGGGCCAGCCTTATCCTTCGCTGGACCCGAGAGAATCGGAAAGATGGCTATCCGCTTGAGAAAACATCGTACCAAAGCTGTAGCTACATCGAGGATTTGCAGTAATGACCTCATAGTCAAAATTGGTGCTACATCAAACCTCCATGAGCGTAGAGGGGGTGCGTCAATAAAGAAGAGCACGAGAAAATGTATGGATATCGATAGAGAGTTCGAAACATTTGGGAGCCCATAGTAATGGATTGAGACTTGGGTCAAAGGAAGTAGTAACGTGATGATGTTACACCCGGTGTTTGCCTCAAGCTGTGGCGCAAGCTTCTACTCTCCATGAAGAGTAAAAAAAAGTATGTGTTTCACCTGAATAACATCACGTAACACAGAAAATGGTGGTAGACCGCTTGGTGGGCGGAATACAGCCGTCGTGATACTTTTCTAACATTGTTTTGCCGGGGTATTGGAACGTGCGATGTGCCAATGTTTCAATGTCTCTCATCTGTGTTCCCATCTAATACTCCATTTCCAAACAATCATTCACTTCTAGTGCAAAAGGTAATCTCGATGATTTCGGGTTGGATGTATCCGAGTGTTAGTGTCTGATTAATTTGTCCGTCTGCTGGCTATTTGAAATAGGAATTTATATTGCTAACCCAACAAGCACGATTTGAACACGGCTGTGACGATGGCATTTTCAACCTCGACATAAGCTGTTCTCGTGCCATTGGACCTTGACGTGACCTATATTCGTGCAATCTACCCTTTCGATGCCCAGCCTCAAGGCCCAGATGATCATACATGTCGGATCGTCCTTTGCGGCCGGAAGATCGAAGTCAATCTTTCTTGAAGTGTCCTAGAAAATTCAGCTTACGCTCAATGCTGATCATGACTCGTCGGCTGCGCATACTTTCCCGTTACCTTACGAAGCGAAGATTGTTCTTGCTACCCTAGAAAGAGCAATGTAATGATAGAAAGGCTACGATCGACACATCAATGGTTTGGTAAGAAATTTCCAACGATGGATCTGCTCGCGCAAGTAGTGATTGTACTTTTGAAAATCATTCAGGAGCCTGCAGCATGAATGCCTCGCTTCCCCTGATTACTATGTTGCCAGATCGAGTTGTTGAAGAAGCCATGCCGTTTATCGGATTTTTGTCTGTCTGTCCGTGGCGTTCTTTATCTACCCTGAGCACCGCATCATCATCAGATTCAAGTTCGCCCACAATGCTTCCCTTCCACCGCGGTTCAGATGAATTTGGCACCAAGTTTGCATTTGATTCAATCGAACCAGGAACGGTATTGATGGATAGTACTTTCGTCAAATTATGAGAAAATCTCTGTATTTCCGGCTTCTCGGTCACTTTAGCGAGCAGAAGGGCTGCATATTGACGTTGAGAATTTGGTGTCTGGCTCAATGTCCTCACGAACATATCGAATGGGTCTTGACAAATGCCATATATTTCGTGTGGAATTTGTGATCCATAAACTTGCATAACGTCTACCATAGAGTTTCCAATCTCGAAAATCTTCTCGAAGATACCCATTCCATGGACTTCTATACTTGCGATGGGCACCGAGGATATTACACTCAGGAGAGAGTGAGCGATGTTTAGAGGATATCGAAAAGTCATGCTTTCATCGACGGCAGTGGAAGAGAGCAAGCCTTGACGCATCGAAGATTGCCAAACAATCAAGCGAAGCCATTGCTGGGTTACGAGAATATCCGCTTTCTGTATGGTAGTAAGGGACAAGTGAGAAGGGTGGGGAAGATTCAATTGTTGTTGAAGCGCTGTGTACGTTAGAGTCGAAACTGGCGCATCAGAGGCTTCGTTCCAAGAATCGACAAAGCTAGAGTCCAGCAGATGGTAAGATTGTACTAGATGCATAAACCCAGAGTGTATTTCTGGGCTTTCATAATCGTGTAGACTTGAGGGCAGAGCCGGTGTCTTCGAGAAGGTAAGAGGCTTGTGACGCAGAATCGCAAATGACCTAAGGCCAATTTAGAACCCCACATCCTTGGATAGGGTGGACTTACCTTTCTGTAACATATAGAATCCAAAATGTTCGTCTACGACACAATTCTTCAGCAGGGTGAAGGCCGGAATATTTATGCTCTTCATGCAAGCCTATATCTTGAGCCATTGTCATTGCTTCTCTCAAATAGTACCAAGATTTCCTGGACTGATTCAGCTCGAAAAATGCAGTCGATACAAAATATGATGATATAACCGCAGACAACGATTTATCTTCGATGAAATCATAAGCCTGTCGAATCATAATACACTCGTCAAGGAAGAATCTTCCAGCAACTTCCCACGAAGGTGGTCCTGGAGCCAATATGCTTTTACCAGACATATGGGTTGAAGTGATGGCACATAACGAGTAAAGAAGGTTTTTCTCGTGCATTTCCAATGGTCGATTTATTGAGGCTCGTAGAGTGGGCATATGCACTAGAGGCATAATTGGGTAAATGTGCTCAAGAAAAAGATCAAGGCATGTCGGGATTAGATACATGTAGCTAACACATGTGGGCCTAAATTGATCGGTCGTAAACATACTATTTGGCTCATCACTGGAGATGGTCGAGATGTCCGACATGATTGGATATCGTGCAGGTCTTCCCACATATGTTTGAGTGGCGGGAGAGCTAGCAATATCCGAAACCCAATGATCGATATCCACACTATAGCACATATCAGCTGGTGGACAATTGCCAACGGGATGGTATAGAGAGAAATTTCCCACGGGTCACAATCCACGTGACGAGACTTGGAATTTGACCATTCTCAAGCATTCCCTCAATACTTTCTCAGGTTTAACAATTCTTGCAACTTAAGACAATATAAGTTGCTTTAGGGCTACATGAAATTACTCACGAGCCTGGACCGGTACTGCTTCTTCCACCCGAGCCTGAGTCACGGACTTCCGCAAAGTTTTTGATATCCCCGCCATCTTGAGCTCTCAATTCATTGATTACTCTACCATTTCCACGTTTGGGCCCCCTTCTCTTCGGTATGTGCTCTCTTTTGCATGCTAATGATGCATTCCCGCATTGCTTACATGGGAAATTCCCATCACATCGTATCCCTTTGATTGGTCAATGCTCTGAACTCCTTTACTGCATCAAAAAGTGTGGGTATCTGCAAAAGACTTACTTCTTCTTCGACAATGATCACAAACTTTCCTCAGTGTCGATATACTTGTATACTCTGGAGGCATTCCAACTTTTTACTTTGTATCAAAGTCACCTTATGGTCATTGAGGGATGTTTGAGCATACAATTTGACGATAAAAGCTCAAAGTTCGGGGTTTGTAGGTTTGTCAGTCCGTTGACGTCCGTAAAAGCGGGGCAAATGAGCTAAGCCTTATATAGACTAGCCTAAATTGACTACAAGAGAAGTGGGATGTGTACTACGACGACATTGAAAAATCAATAGTCACAGACAGTATTTTATCTCATGAGACATGTTGCAAATGCTATGATGTACTTCGCCCTTTGAAAAGAGGCACCGATGCCTATACAAGAACACGAGTTAGTGCAACAACGATGGTATCCTCTAATCTAAACTCTCCTGTTTGTGAAGAGACTTTCACAGGTGCATATTTGATACTATATTTTCAGCAACGAAACCGTTGAAAACAACTCCAATTTCGAGATCCTAGCAGTTGAAATAGGTGACTGACAAGTCTCCTTCCGCAAAGTCTGAAGGCAAAGGTTGTTGAAGTGGCACTTGAATGTAGCCAGGCACAACATGTCAAGATCTTCTATGAACGTCATTTCTTGCGCCACCCTGGTGTCCCAAAGCCATCATTCTCGCTTCAGGGGTCGTTAGCTGGCTGTATGACTTAACGACATGATTTTGGAATGCGTGTACATATATATTGGTATGGTGTTTTCTGATCGCGATGGACACAAGGTAAGAGATAATACAGGTAATATTTAGAGGCAGGTGTCGTTTCTACGAGATGGCTCGAAAGTAGATACGATGAATTTGATCTGAGATGACTATAAAAACGACTGACTGTTCAATGGAGGTTCGATCATACAGATTTCTTCAAGTCATAATGACGATTCAATCCAAACTTCCAAACTTCAAATCAGTAAGTTGGCTTACATTGAGGCGTCATGAAACACAGTCAAAAGGCATCATGAATAAATCAATGCCTTCATAATTCTGGTCTCCCATGAGTTGATGAGAACAAGAGTTCATATGGGAATTTTGCTATTCTTCGACATTTGTACTTAGATTTACTGGCGAATTACTGAACAAATTCAAGTACAACGTTCACAAGTTAATCTTTCAGAAAGAAATAGAAACAATCAAACGCCTATACTAAGGAATCTTTCATATTCTTATTAGCCCTGTATTCTTTGGGAAACAGTCTGCAGCACCGCTTATCCTCATCTCCTTGATGTTCTCAAGATCATCGGCATCTTTCCAACGTATCCGGAAGACGACCGAGCCATCGAAGACTCAACTACACGCAAAGACCACACAGGCCCAACCAAGCCGAATTTTAGACTGTTGCATCTGAAATCTGGAACTGGAAACCAACAACTCTGTGCGGCGGTTCATATCGAGCACATAGATAGTGCAGCCACCAATGGTTATATCTGCTTATCCTATGTCTGGGGTACGGACATCTCCACAGAACACATCAAGATCGATGAGAACGAAATTTCTATCCATGCGAGCTTACTGACTAGTCTTCGGCACATCAGAAATCCGCATGACACGTTGGTACTTTGGGTTGATGCTCTGTACGTAGACCAAAATGATCCAGATGAGAAAGCTAGTCAAATAGCAAACCTAGGAGAAATATATTCGAGATGCTCACTTGTTTACAGATGGCTTGGAGCGCCACCCAATCACATTCCTACCACAGGGGATCCATTTCAATGGTTTCAACACTTTTCAGATAACAAGCAACATCATGAGATGGCTGGGTACCACAAAGCAAACTCTGTACGGATTCGTTTTGAAGAGAACAGTGAATTCAACGATCTTTGGGACAGATTCCTGCTGATAGCCAATAGCACCTGGTTCACACGAGTATGGACTGTTCAAGAGGCTGTTTTATCTCCCGACCATGTTTTGTGTTACGGGAATTGGCGGTCGAGTCTTGACAGGTTGATCTCGGCTCGAAGAAGTCGTAAATGTCATACTTTCAATGAAACACAATGCTGCAAGAATAACCTCGGAGTATTCCCCAGATCAAAAATCACAGCTCTCGAACATTTTTTCTTGCAGATTGAATTAATTGAAAGGCATAGGCAAGATTATTCGTTGCAAGATCACTCGCTCTATTGCCAGGATACGATACGAGCGTTTCCAGAATTAACACATCGCCCTTTCTTTGAAATTGTTCTGACATTCTCAAATCGAGTTTGTATGGAGCCGCGGAATAGAATATTCTCGGTTCTTGCTATGGCTCAATCATCGATCATGAAATCGTATCGGCCCAACTACAGCGCCAGATTGATCGATGTATACACAGAAGTCTTCAAACTGATGCTGTAAGATATTGGTAATGGTTATCGATGCATGATGGGACCTAAGTTCGGATCAGATCATTTTAACCTTCCCTCATGGGTTCCTGACCTTTCAGCCACCATACCGCTCGTGGAGATCGAAGCCGTGATACGAAGAATCTCATCATTCACATTGTATGAGGCTTCGGGTTCAAAATTCGGAAACTTTCAAATTCAAGGAGCAGAACTCTCAGTATCAGGACGGTGGGTCGACACCATTTCGACCATAGGTTTCTTGTTTCCGACTGACAATGTTTCAGCGGAGGTGCTGAAGAATATTCTAATGAATTGGAAAGCATTATGCGAAAAAATAGGAACCTGTAGAGAGGCTTCTCTTCGTATGGCTTTATCCGGTTTCATATGTGCTTCAAAGATAGATGACCGAGTGTCCCTAAATGGGCGTCGTTGTGGATGGAGACAAATCAAGACACACGATCTTCCTAGCATGGAAGAGTGGAGCCAGTTCTTGGGCGGAGATGTGTGGGCTTTACAAGAAGAATATAGAAGAGCAGTCGAGATAGCTAGCACGGGTCGTTGTTTCTACATCACAAAAACCGGGAAGATAGGACTTTGTTACCCGCATGTAAAGACTGGCGATCAGGTCTGGGTTTTGAAGAATTTCAACTCGCCTTTCGTATTGAGGAAAGTCGGAAGTGAAAGTAATAATACTCGGGTTTTCAGGTTTATTGGGGATTGTTATCTTGATGGGACTGTAGATGAAGAGGCCGTCAAAGCAACGAAGAAAGGAAGCTGTATCACCCTAGTTTGAAAAATTAGAACACTTACTTTATCATGGACTACACGTAGGAGAGAGAGATGAGTATGGTGTACATTACAGACAGTGAATAGGCAAAATTTGACTAAACATACATTCAAAGTTCAACTCTACTCATGCCTCGTGATTCATAAACATGACTCTTCGAATGTTTCTTTTGGCCAAGTCACACATCCATGTATTAGTAAAAGTAATCATCTCCATGAGGGTAAATGAACAAAATGAGTTCAAGCCCTCCTCTGCACTAGTATCAAATACCATCAAAACCCACAAAATCTTCATTTTGAAAGGTTATTCTGATGTCTGCATATCAGAAAAACACTTCTAGGTCTCAAATTGCATTTAAAGGGCACATCAAGTCATTCCGGATATCATAATCTTCGCCATCTTATCGCAACGGCGTCTTTCAAACGCTCAGAATCTTCTTAAGCAATTACATCATCAAGGTACTCACCATGTCCCCAGGCCTTTCTCACTCCGCTGCTAATGCAACGACACAAAAGTCTGCAACATCCACAACATATCAAACAGGCGTAGATTCCGCAAGACAGAAGAAAGCAGATCATTCGAAAGCGACAAAAAAGATACGACTTTCGAATGTAAGATTTAGGGTGGACGTACGCTTGAAGAGGGAATCAAGGGGATGAAAAACGGGACAGACATGGTTGTTCTTTATAAGCCAGCTAAGTAGGAGCAAAATTAGAAGATGACTGGAAAGCTATGGAAAGCAATGGGATGCGTGAAGACGAGGTGGTGTAGAGATTGTTTGTGAGTGGGTGGGTATTTGTGGATTCTAGCAACTCCACTGAGTTTCAAGGAGGAAAGACATCATCGCTTCCTTCAAACAAGCAGGAGGAATTATGAGCAAGATGCAGACTTTGTTGGAAATCATTCACGATAGCGATAAAAGTCATATTTTGTGGTAGCAAGGACGGAATCTCTGCGATCTATATACCTACCTCGTATAAATCATTGTAAGCTTCATACTGAGGTTTAAGTGAGTTATGTTTGATTCGCTTGTAAGGTGATACAGTTGGTATGATACAAAATTGAGCGGCACAAGTTGTGTCGCACAGCTTATGAGTGAAGACTTCTTTTGGCTATGATAGACTTGTCTCTCTCGATATCCCTTGATATCCAGCCGTTGAAAGCGACACCGAATTTCTCGCATTCATCGAATACCAAAATTCCAACAATAGTAATTGTCTATCCTCGAGTATCTGCCACAGAATTAATTTACTGCTAGGATTTGAACCGAACTTCCATTTATCATCCAAAATAAGCACAGTACACTCGTACCATTCACAGGTAAGATACTGATTACACTCGAGCTAAATTTCATACATGATACACCAAAATCAGATTCACAGATAACCTCCCTCTCTAGATTGAATGACATCGAAAGCGGGGATTTCAAATGAGTTCATGCCAATTGTATCACAATTGTTCATTCCGCAAGGGAAGATCACCCGCAATTTAGCTACAGAATATTCCATCTCGTATCTACAATATGTAGATCAACTTACCATTTCCCTTTCCACGCCATCGCAAAACAATTTCTCCATCTCCCTCATCCCCAAAAAATCAAGGGACCAAAATCTAGACTCATCAGCTCGTGTTCGCGACCCACTGATTTCCATCGTGTCCCTACAATGTGGAGTCGTCGTCTCGGTACTTACGACGTTTCGTAAACATGAAACTTACATTTCTGAATCCGATCCACTGATCTACACACACACTTAAATCTCAATGAGAATTTGAGACAAGAAGGGCAAATCAACCTTGTTTGATGATATACTCATCTACCGGTGTACGTAGGGTTTTCGGAGAGATTGAGAGACATTTTTTTCCACCCTATATGTGATTACTTGGCGTAGATCTGATCTCATGGGTATTTGTAAGCTTTGTGGTAGAAGGCGCGCGTCTGTGGAGAAGAAGGTTTGGGATAGAAGATTTGGCGTTCCAGAAGATTTAGAAAAGTATGTTTGATGAGCGGATGTTTCCAATTTGGTAATTCGAGGAGATCATTTGAAACTGAGGTCTTATGTTTGGAGATCTCGTCATTTGAACCTTCCGAATAGAATTAGAATGTTTCCGAGTACAACATTTAGTTTGACAGGTGAAGACTACTTGATGTACGCCGGAGTGAAAGGGGCCTCGCTTAATTGAGCAGAAAATACATTCCCCACGACCTACCGTTCTTAGAGGACATCAATGTTGTAGTGCAAACTTGAAGCTTTGAACTACACGTGTTTTACATGGTGTTTTCATGCTGCGCGCTACGATGTGCAAGTCTCATGTTGTGTACATAAAAAGCGGAAGTTTGAAGATTCGTGTCATTTTTTCCGTCGGGAGATTGTCGCCGAAGAAAGGCACGTCGCCGTTCGGAAATTGAACTTGCAGTAAGTAGTACTTGGAGTACATGAAGATGTTGGTGATGGGAGGGTAACATGGACATGTTGTCGCATCAACACCTACAAGAACTTTTGAATGTAGTAATTGCAACGTGCCTATCCTATCAATAGATACCGCAAAATTTCCGGGCAGACGTAGGTCAAATTATAGGATCAAGATACCTGCCTGTAATTGGTATCATGTATCTGGACTGTCTATGGACAATACTTTTGTGACGGGTAATATTGGGTCGCCAAGACTTGTCTCTCGTCCCGATATGTATGCAGCTATCTTCCGTTTCGAGTGTTACCGAAAGGGCCGAAGAATCTTGATACTATCCCGTTCCAGAATGCATCCTCCCATACGCACTTGAATTTACATGTGGTTAAGATCCTATTGAAAGATGCATCACCTCATTTCAACTCTAGATGTCCTTGGTCATGTGCAATCCAGTAGCATTCGCATACACGATCAAATTTCCTTTTCCAAACCGTACCTGCAGTTATTCACAGAATGCAATCAAAAAACATATTAAACAACGATATGAATTCGTCACAATTTACCGCTTTGAGATGAGCCGTCACTTAATTCGAAACACGATCTCCACTAGACCCCACGCGCAAATCGGGTAATCTCTCACAATCTAATCTAACAAACCTTGTGCTAGACAAGGATCTGCAGCCCTGCCGAACACGTCCATTGCCCAATCTCTCGGATCATCTCCGTTTGAGAAACGCCAGGCCTAAAAGGGGGTAAAGAGCGATAAAAGTGATCTTGTTTTGATTTCGTGATTTCTGAGGCACGCCTGGAATTGGTTATGGGAAATCATTTGGGTAGCTTGTGGCTTGAAGTTATGTAAAGTTCAATCTATATGCTACAAGACCTTGTACTAATCGGGATATTTATTCTCCAATTGGGATGTTTGTTATAGTGCTTTGCTTACCTTTTTAAAATTATATAGATTGAACATAACACGGCTGGTAATATTCGATGAAGAAAGAAAGTTTCCAGTCAATACAAAAACAGCATAGGTGATAATGTGTAGATCCTTGAGTAGCCATGAGGAAAAGACTAGAGATCCATGCTCTTGCACCGCCGTGGTATTCATACTGTAGCAAAGCACGTTGATCGATCAACTCTGGAACGGATTTCCTGATGAGGATAGGGATCCATGGTAGCATCCCGAAAGTGAAGGTTCCACGATGCACGAAATTGCAGAACCCTGTTAACAAGGCTAATTCGAGCCAGGAGACCTTTAGAATTGACAGTGCAGGTCGAGACCATGATCGAAGATTAGCAGATTGCAAGCTTGGCAGAATTCCGTTCTTATCGTCTTACCCCTCTTCTAATCCATCGCTAGGTAGGGAGAAAGCAATGGGATGAGTTTCCATACTTTGTATCGACTCTAACTCGCGCGAGGCTTGATTCGTTAGAACATGCATTGTACCTGGTCTGTAGCCATCCTCTTTCCTCTTTCCTGTCCGCATGATACTTAAAGGTATCTGTACGCGCCCATCGATGTATAAACTACTGCACAACCATGTTGCTTTCTAACTTTGTGAAGATTGTAATTACATACACTTTAGCTCAACAAAGTTTAATATACAGGCCGTGCTAATCCCTGCTTACCATTTCCGCGCTGACCATGGTTCGGATTCCTGCGCGCTGAAACACGCATAATTGTATTCGTTATGTCTCAACTGTTGAGCTCCAGCCTGCCAGTCAAAACTTGCGGCTCTTATTAAACATAGGTATCAACGAGCATTTCCTCTACCAGGTCCAAACCAGGATAAAAGTGCGCGTTTTTGGTTGAAGTGGCTGACTGAGGAAGAAGTAAGTTTTTCCTGCCTTCATTAGGCTCCATGACGCACTTGGCACGATTCTTGACGCCTGAACACTTTGAATTGGGAAAGTTGGAACGAAGGATTCTTGAGAAATTGCTTATTTAAATTTGATTTCTCATCTGGGGTGATTTCCCTTTGTCAAAGATATTCTTGACACAATATGCAGGCCGACCCCGTAGGCCATAGGTCCTTTTTTGGTACCTGACTACCTATGATTGATTTCCCACGCACCTCAATCTCCAAACTTGAGACCTAAACCTTATATACCTGCCCGAATTGGGATATACATCCACCACAAGATTAAGAACAGAAATAAGTATGTACATGTAATTTTGAACCAGCCCTGTGAATTCCAGTGCCGGGTTTGAAGAAAAATAGTGCTGCTGAGGCACGCAACAAAAAGTTTAAAGATAAAAAAGAAGAGGAGAAGGGTTCAAAGATACAAGAATTGAATTCCCTGTCAACGGGCAATAAAAATGATATACAGAATGTAAATATGCTCTAGAAAAGAGTTCGGTGCGCAGAAGGTAAGGTGTAAAGTCAATGTCAATGTCAAAGTTAAAAGGTGCGCAAAGTGATGGGTATCTTCTAAACAATCAATATCGAAGCGAAGAATAGAAGAGAAATTGAACATCTGTATATGGGCAAAGCATATTTGATGGTGGATGAATAGAAAAGTTGTAAAATAGGTAGTCTTGTGGCTTTGGGGAAATTCGTTGGCGAAGAATATGTCCGTCTAAGTAAATGATCGGCAGTTCTCTGAAACGTGTTTAATTTCTTCCATCGGTTCGCTTGCCCGAACATCGTGCCTCGTCTCCTTCCATGGTCCTTTCTTCGCGTCCAATCTCCGATAGTCCAGAGTAGTGACGATCTCGGTCTCGCTGAGACTGGCTTTGTTGACTTTGGGTTTGAGAGTGCGCGCGTGGTCTAGAATCGCTTTGTTCGAGCAAAGATGACACAGTGTTCGAGCCGCCTGAATGCCTACGTGGTTCTGCAGGCATCGAAGCTTGCTCTTGATTCTGTGAGTGAGCTGGTGAAGTTAGGCTTTGAGTGCTGAAACTGCTTTCAGTGTGTCTATGGCGACTCGAAGGGCGACCGTATGAATCAGCCCCACGGGCTGAAACGTCGCTTCGGTTCCTTGAATGCCCGCGGCGTCTGCTTGATGGCGTACCCGACACCGAAGACCCTGTTTGTGAGAACGAAGGGGAAGTATATTGTGGCAATGATGTTGGATGCGGGGCTGGTTGTTGCGGCCCTGTCGCTTTTCGTTTCTTTGGTGAAGAAACATGGTCTAGTCAAATTATTAGTACAATGAATGAAAGAAGATTTACAAGAGCTTGCCTGAGGGTGTCGGAGGCTGATGGGTGCTGCTCGTACCTGCTTGTGATGTGGGTGGTTGCCAATGATGAAAGTAAATTGAAGGGGAAGATTGAGGCTCATGTTGCTGCTGAGC